TCCTGATATGGAATTTTAAGTAATTGTTTTAGGGAAGCTTTTCTTGAGCTACAAGAAAAGACAATTCAATGAAATCAAGAAAACAAGACAGAAAATGAGAAGTTTAACAGAGACACAGAAATTATAAAAGAGAACCAAACAGTTCTGGAGCTGAAGACTATAATGAATAAACTGAAAAATGGAGTAGAAAGCATCAACATAGCTTTGATCAAGTAGAAGAAAGAATCTGTGAAGTAGAAGAAAGTTCAATTGAAATTTCCGGACAGAAGAGACGAAGAAAAATGAATGAAAACAAGTGAAGAAAGCCTGTGTGAACTATCGGATACCATTAAGAGAAATAAATTATGCATTGTTGGAGTCCCAGAAGGAGAAGGGACAGAGAAAGGGGGAGAAAGCTTATTAAAAGAAAAAATGGCTGAGAACTTCACACATCTGAAGAGCAATTTGGACATTCAAATTCATTAATCTCATAAGCTTCCCCCCAATTTTTAAAAAATACTTTATTCCAGTACAGTTTATTTTTTTAATCTTTTTGGCTGCGTTGGGTCTTCGTTGCTGTGCTCGGCTTTCTCTAGTTGCGGCGAGTGGGGGCTACTCTTCGTTGCAGTGCACGGGCTTCTCATTGCGGTGGCTTCTCTTGTTGCAGAGCACAGGCTCTAGGCACGCGGGCTTCAGTAGTTGTGGTGCACGGGCTTAGTTGCTCTGTGGCATGTGGGATTTTCCAGGACCAGGGATCAAACCTGTGTCCCCTGCATTGGCAGGCAGATTCTTAATCACTGCACCACCAGGGACGTCCCTCCCCAAAAATTTCAACTAAAACACACACACACACACACACACACACACACACACAACGTCTCCCAGACACAATAAAACTGTCTAAAATGAAAAACAAAGGCAGGATGTTAAAAGCAGCAAGAAAAAATATCCTTACCTACAAAGAAACTCTCATAAGGCTATCAGTGGATTTCTCAGCAGAAACCTTACAGGCCAGGGGAGAGTAAGATAATATATTCAAAGTGCTGAAAGAGAAAACTGCCAACCAAGAATACTTACCTGGAAAAGTTGTCCTTTAGAAATGAAGGAGAGATAAAGACTTTTCAAACAAACAAAAGGTGAGGGAATTTATCATCACTAGAACTGCCTTACAAGAAATGCTGAAAGGAGTTCTACAAGCTGAAATGAAAGGATGCTAACTAGTAACATAAAAAGATGAAAATATAAAACACACTGGTAAAGGTAAGTATATAGTCAAATACTCTAATACTGTAATATAGTGGTGCGTTAATCACTTAACTCTAATATGAAGATTAAAGGACAAAAGTATCAAAATTAACAATAGCTAAAATAATTTGTTAATAGACACACAATATAAAGAGATGTTAATTGTGACATCAAAAATACAAAATGGGGGTGTACAAGGATAGTATTTGTAAGTGATTTGAAGTTAGCAACTTTACTGAATTTATCAGTTCTAACACTTTTTTGGTGGAGTCTTTAGGATTTTCTACATACAAGATCATATCACGTTCAAACAGAGACCATTTTACTTCTTCCTTTCTGATTTGAATGACTTTTATTTCTTTTTCTTGCATAATTGCTTTGGCTGGGACTTTCAGTACTAGGTTAATAGGAGTGGTGAGAGTGAGCACCCTTGTCTTGTTTCTGATCTTAGAGGAAAAGTTTTCAACCTTTCATCATTCAGTATGACGTTAACTATGGGCTTGCCACATATGGCCTTTATTATGTTGAGGTATGTTCTATGTGGGGTTATGCTGAGTGAACACGATGAGGGTATACTATATCCAAATTCATATCATCACATAGATTTATTGTACCAAATTTCTCCTATTAAATCCCGTTCTACTTAATATGCCTTGAAAGGTTTCTGTTTTCTGCACTGAACCCTCTCCTATACAGATACACTAAAGGGAAACCCACAGCCACATGGACTGGCAGGAGAATAGAAGCCCCAGTTTCCTCACTTACAAAATAGGGGTCATAATCATATTGAGTTGCTGGAAGATCTGCGATAAGGCAGGTAAGGTGTCCAGTGGGGTAGCTTCAGAGTAGTTTTACAGCCTGCAGCTATACCCTAAGGAGTGAGGTGGAAAGTCCTGTAATCAACTGAAACAAGGGAGCTGGGTGAGAAATGGTGTTGAAGCAGTCTCTGCAAGAGGCGGGTGAGAAAATGCCTCACGGCAGCTCTTTGCAAGACTGCTTATCTCCTTTTGTTTCAGGAGGAATCACCAGGAGTTCTGTTGTGGTTCGGGTCAGACCATAACTAAGTACTGCTTACGTGGCTCATGTGGAGATGTGCAAGGTTGTCGTGGTGGAACCATTCCCCATAGTATCATCCCACAGGTCATCTGCCAGATATTTCCAGAGGACACGGCTAGTGGCCCCTCCTCTGGGGCAACCTGGCATCAGGTACCTCCTGATGGGAAGCAGTAAGGAAGATACACACAGGAAGGATTCTTGCAAAAAATACTTAATCTGCATCTAATCAAGCCTTTAGAGCCAACTTCCAGTTTATAAGAACTACAGAGGGTGGAAGAAGCTAAATGACACCATGAGGAAACAATCGGACAGATCCAGAATGGGGAACATTTTACAAGACAGCTGGCCTGGCCTCTTAAAAAATTCCACTCTTACAAGAGTGGGTGGGGCGGGGGTGGGGCTATTCTAGAACTGAAAAACTACTAGACCTAGAGATCAAATGCAGAAGGTGAACCTTGATTGGATCCTGGTATAAAAAATAAACAACAGGACTTCCCTGGTGATGCAGTGGTTAAGAATCCGCCTGCCAATGCAGGGGACAAGGGTTTGATCCCTGGTCCGGGAAGATCCCACATGTCACAGAGCAACTAAGCCCCTGCACCACAACTACTGAGCCTGCGCTCTAGGGCCTGCGACCCACAACTACTGAAGCCCACGCGCCTAGAGCCCGTGCTCCGCAACAAGAGAAGCCACTGCAGTGAGAAGCCTGTGCACAACAATGAAGAGTAGCCCCCGCTCACCGTAACTAGAGAAAGCCTGCGCGCAGCAACGAAGACCCAACACAGCCAAAAATAAATAAATAAAAAATAAATTAAAAAAAAACAACAGAAAAAAGATTTTGGGGTATGATTTGCGAAATATGAATATGAGATGTTAGGCAATTCGTGTTAGTTTTTCTTAGGAGTGACAACTGTAGTGAAGAAACATGGTATTTTTGAAAGATACATGCTTAAGTACTTATGAGTGAAGTTGTCAGCATGTTTGGAAAGCACTTTTAAATGATTCAGGAAAAAATTACATGTACACATATACAAAGTAGATATGACATAATAGTAACAACTGTTAAAACTAGGTGGTGGGTATAAGGGCAATTATTGTACTATTTGTCCACTTTTTCTGTATGCTTGAAAATTTTCATAATAAAATGATAAAAGAGGGAATATATATATATATATATATATACATACATACATATATATATTTTAAAATCCCTGTCCTCACAGAAATTACATTCTAGTGGTGGGGGTACAATTATCAAGGATGAATAAATAAAATACAGGAATATTAGTGTAAATACTTAAGAAACCAAAGGGGTGAGGGCTGCAAAGTGTGTGTGTGGAGTCGAACTGTTAGGTCGAGTGGCCAGGGAAGGGCACACTAAGTTGTATTTGGGGAAGAGCTGAACGAAGGAGGGAGTGAGCTGTGTGGCTAAGCCTCGCAGACAGAGCAAGCCGCAGTTGTACAGGCCTTGAGGCTGGAGCGAGCCTGGTGCGTTGACCTTCTCATGGGCTCACAGGGTTCCTGTCACAATGAAGAGGTCAGTGTGGGAGGAACTGCATGAGCAAACGAGCAGTGGGAGAGCGAAGAGGGATTGGGAGAACCGTATCAAGTCAAATAGACAAGGTAAGTGCTTCTAGATGTACAGGCTATCTCTGTGACTGCTAATGGTGGCAGCCTCTGGGCAGGATTGGGTGACTGGGGTCAAAGGAAGTCCTATATCTTTTCACTGGACTTCCTGTTTCATTTGAAATTTTCACCATGTTTCTTTCCTATTCCTGACACATGCCAGAAGCTTCTACAGTCCCTCAAAGCCCCTAAGCATGCACTAGGCTCCCTTTCACAGCGCCCCTCCTCATGGGCGGCCATTTCAGAAGAGCCCTCCCTAGGGCCATTTTCCCTCAATACAAGAATCATCTCTCTGCTCTTTTGAACATACTTCAGATAAGTTTGTTACACAACCATCTGGGTCTTGAGGAAACACCAATTTGGCTGCAGCATGGTACTCTAGCTGGTCACACTGCGTCAGGAGTTCCCTGCTGACACGTTTACGGTGGATGATATTCTGTACTGTTACTGTGTGGCCATTCCTTTGGGGACATCAAGAAAGAACATTTCTTAACTTGGCCTACTTAAATGACTTCCAATTGTCACCATGATCAACATGATTAAGAGGAGGCCTAGAAAGTAGGGAGAAATTACACATTGCACAGAAGACTGCTTATTCGATATTAAGAATGTATTAACTTTTAGATGTAATTATATGATTATGTTTAAAAGTAAACCTGTATCTTGAAGAGATACATATACTTACTTATTTCTGGATAAAATATGATCTCCAGTATTTGCTTTAAAATTACCTACAGGGGTAATTCCTTGGTGGTCCAGTGGTTAGGACTCAGCACTTTCACTGCCAAGGGCTCGGGTTCAATCCCTGGTTGGGGAACTAAGATCCCACAAGCCACATGGTGTGGCCAAATAATTAAATAAGTAAAAATAAAATAAAATAAAATAACCTAGAGGGAGAGGGGTGTTCACTTGATGATAATTGTTGAAGCTAGGTGATGAGTACATAGGAGTTTTTATTATACTATTTTCATGTGGCCCAAAACATAAGTTTTTAAAAATTATACAGATAATAAAGGAGAACATACAGATAAATTTTAGCACATACAGGAACATGAGGCTATTTTGTATAATCACTCACTCTACTGTCTGGTAAAGAAGAGGTGGTCAAAGTTTATTAAAAGAAAAATTTAAAAAAAGAAAAAAAAAACTACCCTGAATTCAGTCTCTCTTACTGGTCAAGGTACTAATTCCGCCCCAGCTTCTGGCCCCATCATCCAGCTCTTTTACACATACACAGCCTTACACTCTTCCAACGAGTATTTATTATTAGTTAAGCCATGATTCAGGACCCCAGGGTGGGGATCACTATGTACCCAGGTCCCCCTTCACCACCCTGGGGAGAAGGGCGGAGGACAGAGAAGGTGGGGTGGAGCCAGTTCAGATCTTCCCAGGAAATGTGCCTTCTGCCCGGCGGTCGTCCCAGGCTGACACCTGTGGAAAGACAGCCAGTGTTACTCCCTTCCTCCACAGGGAAACCAGATGGGTGAACTTCTTTGTCTTCCCCACTTTGCCTACCTGTTCAGTCAACAAGTAACCCCAGGACCTGCTATGTGCCAGTACTGGCAACTGTTCCAGGAGCCGGGGAACCAGTAGTGACCCAGAAGGACAAGAATCACTGTGCTGAATGAGCTAACATGAACTGACCCACTGAGGGGACAAGGGGTGGGGCGAGGGGTGGGGTGGTGGTGGAGGAATAATAACAGGCAGACTCACTGCAGAGCTGTCTGTGGGGAGATGTGTGTAAAGACCTTCAAAAGTATGACCAGGCCCTGCTTCAGGAACCCCAGAGTCAACCCTCAATGATGTCTGTCAGAACAGAAGAAAGAAGGAATACTGGGCAGCTGTGAATAAAAATGAGGCTATCTATGCTCCAGCAGGAAAGCATCTCTAACGATCAAATGCACAATCGAGTGCAAAAAGGTCCAAACCGGCTACAGAGTGTGATCCTACTATTGCTCACAGATGTATGCGTACATATACAAAACGATGGACAGGCCCATATCGAACTGTTAACACTCTCCCGAAGTAACACTCTGCAACTTGTGGACCCTCTTACAGGCAGTCAGAGCACATTTATTTTTATATATACACACACATTCACATTTACATGCTATACATTAGAGGCAATGGATAAATGCATGGATAAGGGAGACAAACTGAATCCCTGCTCCATCGCTTCCTAGCTGTAATTTCCTCATGCAAATTACTCAACCTTTCAGGGCCTCAGTTTCCAATTTTGTAAAATGCGGATACTGATAATAGTACCTATCTTTTTTTTTTTTTTAAGCATGTTTGCCCTTATATGATATAAAGCACTTACAAAGTAGCCGGCCCATAGCAAGTGCCTATTTTATTTACACACATACACCACACATCACAAATACTCTTTACTTAAATTGGGCCATACTATACAGATTTTTCCCCCCATACTATACAGATTGTCCTGCAACTTGCTTTTTCCATGAGTCTCAGAGCTCTTTCTGTATTCTGTCACATAGATCAAGATGAATATACCATCATATATAACTTGTTTCTGAATGTTCCCCATTACAAACAACTCTGCAATGGTTGTCCTTGTACACAAACATTTTTATAGGATGTGTAGATGTGAAACTGCCACATCTAGAGTATGATTTTTTTCATTTTGAAAGATCCTGTCTCAGGATTGACCTTAACAGTGATTGGACCTGGGCTTCCCTGGTGGCGCAGTGGTTAAGAACCCGCCTGCCAATGCAGGGGATACAGGTTCGAGCCCTGGTCCAGGAAGATCCCACATGCCGCGGAGCAGCAAAACCCGTGCGCCACAACTACTGAGCCTGCGCTCTGGAGTGCGCCAGCCACAACTACTGAGCCCACATGCCACAACTACTGAAGCCCGCGCACCTAGAGCCCGTGTTCCACAATAAGAGAAGCCACCACAATGAGAAGCCCACGTGCTGCAACGAAGAGTAGCCCCCGCTTGCCGCAACTAGAGAAAGCCCGCGCACAGCAACAAAGACCCAATGCAACCAAAAATAAATAAATTTTAAAAAAAGTGATTGGATCAATCTATAGAACCACCAACACTTAGTACTACCTTCCACTCCCCATCCCTTTTAAGTTAAAGGATCAGGCTGGTCTGATCCTCTGGCAAATTAGTCTTTGTCCAATAATCCCACTTCATGGAAAGGAAACTAAGGAAACCATTCAAATAGAAGGCAAAACATTTCCTGCAGTGGAATTGTACACTGCAGTATCATTTAAAATAGTGAAAAAAGACTGAGTCCAGCTAAAGGGGAAGGGACTATTTTTTAACTATTAAAGACAATGGCTACCCAATAATTGAGCAGGTTGTACTGACATGAAAATAGGTAAACAATGCAAGTAAAAAAGCCAAGGATAAACAGTATCTACAGTATGATCCATATCTATATTTAAAAAGTACATAGGGACTTCCCTGGTGGCGCAGTGGTTAAGAATCCGCCTGCCAATGCAGGGGACATGGGTTTGATCCCTGGTCCGGGAAGATCCCACATGCCGCGGAGCAACTAAGCCCATGCGCCACAACTACTGAGCCTGTGCTCTAGAGCCCGTGAGCCACAACTACTGAGTCCGTGTGCCTAGAGCTCATGCTCCACAACAAGGGAAACCACCGCAATGAGAAGCCCGTGCACCACAACGAAGTGTGAGCAGCCCTGCTCGCTGCAACTAGAGAAAGCCCACGTGCAGCAACGAAGACCCAACGCAGCCAAAGATAAATAAAATAAAATAAATTAAAAAGAAAAAAGTATATAAACATACACCAACACCTACTCACACATTAGAAAAGGAAGTGGAAGATTTATACCAAATTTCTAAGGGAAGTTAACTTTGGACTCAGAAGGGGGTGACTTAGGAGTTTTTCACTTTTTACATTATAATAGTTTCACTTTGAAGGTTTACTGTATTTTTTATGAAGAAACTAAAGATTTTTTAAAATGGGAAAATAAAAGGGAGTTCCTTGGTGGCCTACGGGTTAGGATTCAGAGCTTTCACTGCTGTGGCCCGGGTTCAATCCCTGGTCAGAGAACTGAGATCCTGAGAGCCTCGCGATGTGGGGGAAAAAAAGAAGAAAGAAAAAGAAAAGAAAAAATGATTGGAAAAAATGTTTTAAATGCTCATATAGGATAAGTGCTGGACTCCCAGCCCCACTCCTCCCCAAATACACATACTGGGGTTAGAGACTAATTTTTAAAAATACACAGGAAACACCTGGAAGATGTTACAGTATTATCAGCCAGGTCAGGAGGATGAGAAACAATTTTTTGCCCCTTCCTCTATTTCTTAAGTTTCTGTGAAATGGTTATATTGCTTATAAAAAAACAAAAACAAACAATAGCAATAACAAAACACTTGTTTTTACTTCACCAAATTTCTGGAATAAAGAAGCCAGGGCTGCTGGGTATAAAGGGTGTGTTCACATCCAGCCCTCAGAAGGCAGAGACAGCAGGCACCCGAGGGGAGGAACCACAGAATCTAACGCTCCCCAGGTAAGGGCAGGCCCAGGTCCCAAAGGCTGGGGTGTGGGGCAGCACCGGGACTGGAAGCATGTTTCCTAGCACCCTGTCCAGCACTCACCTACTGCAGGCCCTGAGGCTGGAGGGCGGATATTATGGGATCATGGTGTCATGGTACCCAAGATCACGCAGGGACAAGGAGAAATCCTGGGAGGGGAGAGGGTACTCAAGACACTTGAGAGTGTGGCCACAGAGGTGGGAGGCAAACCAAGCAAGCTGAGGAAGAGTGCATTAAGGCAATCTGTTCTCAAGAAACAAGCCCCAAAGATGTACATCAAAATTAGAACACAATCTCCATCAAAGGGGACCAGTTAAGTAAAAGCATTTGTAAGGTAAGGACCTCCCTGGCGGGCCAGTGGTTGAGACTCTGCGCTTCCACTGCAGGGAGCGCAGGTTCGATCCCTGGTTGGGGAATTAAGATCTCACATGCTGTGCAGCACAGCCAAAAAATTTTAAAAAAGAAAAGAAAAAAACAAAAATGAATGAGGTAGATCTATACGCACTGTCATAAAAAAGGCTCAAGACACACTATAAGTCACAGAACAGACTATATAGTATGACCCATGCATACACAGAAAGTTCCACAGGCTTACGTATGATAAATGTATATAGAGAAAGATGAATCGGTTAACAGTAGTTACCTCAGGGGAGGGGGACTGGGGAGCGAAAGCGGACGTCTACTTTTCATTTTACTGCACTGCCCTGTACTGTACTGTTTTATTTTTTAAAATGAGCACTATTAGTTTTGTAATAATATCATATTTTAAGACATATGATTTTTTTCATTTTAACATCTCTGAAAATAGCATGCTTGTTACATCCATTTCTGGCATTAAAAAAAAAAGATTTAAACATCTCTCAGTGTTTCTTGTAGTCGATGGGGTCTTTGACTTGATGCAATAAATCTTTTATTTAAAAAAAGAGGGTATGGCAGAATATTAAATAGTAACAACGGGTCTGGTCAGATCAGGCCTAAAAGGACTGCCTTATTGCATCCCTGTTTTTTAGAAATGCATGCGGAAGTAGGTAGGGGTGAAACGACATGTCTGGGATTTGCTTCAAAATACTTCAGCAAAGGAAAGAGGAAAAAGAAAAGGAAATGGAGGAAATGTGGAGAAATCTTGAAACTATTCAGTTTGGGTGATGGGTATATCTGGGGGGTCACTGAATTATTCTCTCTACTTTTATGTATATTTGGAAATGCTCATATGAAAAAAGGACAGGATTCCAAAAGATGGTGAGCTCCACAGGGACAGGGCATTTACTTGTAGAGTGTCTGGGTGAGACAGATCTGGTTGCCTTGGCTGAGAGCCTGGCTGGTTGAGAGAACCGGTGAAAGGAGGAAAGGGAGGTGATTCTATGAAGAAGAAAAGGCTACATCCATGGCCAGTGTGATGCCTTGTCCTCCCTTTGCCTCTCACAGATGAGCTCCCATGAAGTCATCACACGTCCCTCTGCTAGGACCCCACCCCCACCCCAGCACCCCAAGGGCCCCAGGAGGAGGCACATACCCAGGATATGGGGCAGAGGGACTTGTACACACGCCGGTACCATTCACACATGGAGACGTCACCCCCTTTAGCAGTCATTGCCTTCTCACAGCGGTGGAAGTCTGTGAAGAATGGGGATCAGGGTCAGCCCAGACCAAGGGCTGGAACACATTTTTGATCAACATTCACAGAAATCGTTTTTACTTCACAACCAGTTACACAAATCCCCCCTACTCCCAAGTTTCACAAAGAAAGCATACCCTTACAAGTGTAGTACTCATAAGGGCTAGACACACCTCGCTAAACTGATTCTGCAACCCCTAAAGAACGACAGTTCTACTTGAAAACTCTGGGGTCAGGAATGATAAGGCAACCTGAGAGGTGTGTGTGGGGATTATGGAAGTCCAGAACCAGGGCAGGGGAAGGGGACGGTGGTCTCGATGCTAAGATGCTGGCATCCTGGAGAGGAAGACGGGAGGGGGATAATCTGGTTTTTAATAGTAGGAAATTAATTCAAAAATTACTCCAAGTATTACACGCCTGGGCACACTCCCTAGAGAGAAAAGCATTCACATGGACATCAAATTACATTTTAAGCATGTTTATAGCAGCACCATTCATAAGAGCCCCAAACTGGAAACCATGCAAGTGTCCATGAATAAAATGTGGAAAACTGTACAGCAATAAAAATGAGCAAAACACATGCCACAGCATGGATGAATCTTCAAAACTGTTGAATGAAGACATCCAAACATAAGACAACACATACAGTATTTATAAAGATCGCAAAGAGGCAAACCTCACAGCGGTGATAAAACCAAAGTGTGACTGCCCTAAGTCTGTGGCGTTACATCTCTCCTGGGGAGAGTAGAGTGTTGTTTTCAAGACAGGGCGTGCAGTAGGCATGGGAGCCCAGAGGGCTGGCAGTATCTAGTTTTCTATCCAGATTATAGTTACATGGCGGATGCACTTTAGAATTATTCATTTAGCTGTACATTATGTTTTATGTACTTCCTGTACGTATGTCACATTCCATAAATACACACACACACATCTTGGGGGGAAAAAAAATCACTGTGGGAACCAAAGTTTGTGACCCTGGGCCAGATCTCAAGCACAGGTGGTGATGAGGGGCACAGGCCCTGGGAGGAGCCAAGAGGCAAGCGACTTGAGGTGTGCGACCAGGGGAAGGTCAACACTGCGCCCCACGCACCCTGCCCCCCCATGTCCTGCTCACCCAGGTAGTTCTGCCAGCAGTTCCTTGTCTGGTTCTGGTTGGGGAAGCGGCTGTCAAAAGGAGCAGTCTGGTAGTTCTTGATTTTGGTCTTGATGTCCTCTGCCATAGTGCTGACTCCTGGAGGCAGAGAATGGGTGCTGGCACGGGTTCTGGGGCTGGCAAGGGGCTGTCAGTCCACCCAGGCCCGGTGAGCAACAAGCCAACGCCCCTCCCTCTCAGTACACACAGAGGCGAAGGCAGGGCAAGAACACATTAAGGGTGGAAGTCACAGCAGGGTGTCTGGGGGAGTCAACTCCTTGGTAAAATCAGGCTTTATTTGTCCCAACATAACACCAGCTGACATTCACTGAGTGCTTACTATAAGCAAGGAAGCTTTATTCCTACAGTCACTCTAAAAGGCAGAAACTATTACTATCGCTGCTTCACAGACAAGAGACAGGGAGTTTAAGCGACTTCCCTTAAGGTCATTCAGCACACATGTGGTGGAGCTGCACTCTATCACTAACTTAACCTACACTGCAGAGGTTCTTAATGTCTACTGATGCCATGAACTCCTCAGGGGTCTAATGAGCCCTTTCTCAGAATATGTTTAAATGCATTTAAAGGGGACTTCCCTGGTGGTCCAGTGGTTAAGAATCCGCCTTCCAACGCAAGGGACGGGGGTTTGATCCCTGGTCGGGGAACTAAGATCCCACCTGCCCCGGAGGCAACTAAGCCAGCACACCACAACTAGAGAGAAGCCTGCGCACCTCAACGAAGATCCCGTGTGCCACAACTAAGACCCGACGCAGCCAAAAAGAAAATAAATAAATAAAAACTTAAGAATGCATTTAAAAATTGCATAGGATCACAAAGAAAACCAGTTACTTGTAGCTGAGGATTTATTAACTACCACAATTTCAAAATAATCATGCCTGAAAATGATATGTTGTGAAATCTGCAACCATAAGGGTCTGTAAGATGACCTATGATTTTGATTGCTGACAAAGTCACAGATGATGCCAATACTACTAGGGCTATTGCCTCCATTCTTAACTGAAGGAAACGCTACATTTTAATTAGAAACTAGCAGAAGTACAGATGTAAATTTCCCCCCATTCAAGAACTAGCACCCCTTGAATTCTACAGATTCTGTGCACCCAGGGTTAAAAACCTGTGCTGTAATCTCTCTTGTGTGGTGACACACTGTTTTCATCAGGGAATCCGAGAGAAACTGCCTATCAGATTATTCGAGGAGTCGTGGGATTACACAGAAGCAGACCAGTAATAAATTCAAGCGACCCAGGGTAGCGGTAAGGATTTGGGGCACCGGAGGAGAGTCTTTCCGGGAGCGGGGTGATGTGAACACCAGCCGCTGGGACACAGACGCGGTCGGAAGAGTTGTTTTGGAAGCGATCTCCACCCGCTTTCGGGAGGGAGGGTGGACTGCGGATGACGCTGCAGCCCCTCCAACGTCCAAGGGAGAGGAGGGGCCAGACACCAGGAAGCCAGGCTGCGGCCTAGGCAAGCCTGGGGGGTCGGGGGTCGTGGGGGGAGGGACGCCTGCGGCCTGGTGACTAAGAGCACTGCAGTCCTGGTCGCTGGCTAAACTGCATAATATCTGATCCTCAGTTGCCTGCCAGTCAAAAAGGGATAATCGCAGGCCCTATCTCATAGGGCTGGAGGGAGGATTACATGAAGCAATATAAATCGCTTGGAATGTTCCTGGCATCGAAGAACTAAATAATCGTCAGCTACGATTACTAACTGAACAGGACCCCAGGGCTCCTGGAGGTCGGCCGCCGCCGGCCGGAAACCTTATCTCGTTCTCCGGGAAGCAAGGGTCGGGCTCCACAGTTCCCCAGGCTGAGGTTCCAGGGCGCCCGAAGCCCCCACACTCACCTAAAGATGCTCCTGAAGCCCCTGGACGCTCAATGTGACCCTTAGCAATGACGCCAGCGTCGGACCGGAAGCGGAACGAAGACCCGCCGGAAGCGGGACGAGGCAGCGCACTGGACAGCCTTCCGCACGGCTAGAGCGCCGTCCCTGGAGCGGTTCAGGCCACGCCCATGCGAGCGAAGTCCAACCTTCCTATTGGGCTGAATGCCTGTTCATCCTCAATCCCGGCCCAATCGTAAGCTTGCGTGGCACTTGGAACCGCACGGAGCTATGGCTGTGCAAGCTGTGGGCGCAGCATGGTCATCTCTCTGTATTTACCAGGAGAAAGGAGTCTGGGTCTTGGGGCTGGCTGGAGAGTGGGCGTGGGAAAAACATCCTAGCGGAAATGCTCTTATTCGTGCAAGAATTATTTATTGAATGCTTACCCTGACAAAATCCTTGCAAATGACCTACACGGTTTGGCCCCCTTTTATACTCTTATCTCCTTCTCTTAACTGCTGCGGTTCCAGGCACACTGGCCTCCTTAGCAGTTCCATAAACGCGCAGGCTGGCTTCCCCGTAAGGGCCTTTGCACTTGCTGTCCCCTTGGCCTGGAATGCTCTTCTTGCAGTTGGCTCCCTCCATCATGTCCTGCAGGTCTTTGTTAAAATGTCACCTTATCAATGAGTCCTTCTCAGTCCAAATATTTAAAATTGCTCTCTTGTCAGTTTCTTCCCTACTTTATTTCTCCAAAGCACTTATCTTCTGACATACTGTATCCTTCCTTTTATTGTTTATCTTTTTTTGTCTCCCTCAATATATAATAGAAGCATCATAAAGGAGCAAGTTTTGTCTCATTCACCATTGTTTCTCTAGCACTTAAAACTGTTTCTGGCACATAGTATAGGTACTCTATAAATATTTGTGGAATGAGTGAATTTCTTGTGTGAATAAAGGAGGCTTCCGGGGACTGGAAGAGGAAGCTGTGAAAGAGACCTGCTTTTGCCCCTCCCCTCAGCCTGGCCTCGAAAGCTTCTCACATACTGTGCTGGGTGCAGTGTCCAGGCCTAACTGGGTTGGGGGCCTCTTATGCATTCTGTGTTCATCAGCGTTGTAATTATTTGTGGAACTGCCTGTTTACATGCCTGCATCCACCCCCTTCAATGAGATCTTCCCAAAGCCCAAAGCCCTTCCCTGCTTAACCCCCTCCCTGGCTCCCCTGTGCCCTCAGGACAAAGTCCAGGCCCCTTACCATGGCCCACATAGGCAGTTCCAACTGGAGCTTTGTGAACTGAGCCGTGGTCCCCTCTCCAGCCATGCTGATATTTTAGTTCATTGAACAGTGCTGTGAGATCTACCTCCAGGCCTTCGATTACTCTGTTTCTCTAACTGGGACATTCTTTGCCTACCCGACTTTTCAAATCAGCTATTCTCTTCTCCAGGAAATTTTCCCTGACCACCCCCCTGCCCCCACCTCAGGCTAGGGCAGATCCCTCTTTTTGGTCCCCCTCTACCCCCTAGAGTTTCCCCATCCCAGCCCTGACCACTCTGGGCTGTCCCTGGCTGGTGATGGGTCTGTCTCCCCACTGGACTGTGAGCTTCCTATGGGCAAGGTCCAGGGTTGTCTTGGTCACTGCTGAGTTCCCAGCATGGCCCATAAGGGGACCACTCAGTAGGCTCTCTTTAGAGGCTCAGTAGTTCCTAGAACAGGGTAGGCTCTCCTTGGGGTCTGAGTTCTATGGCCCCCAGCTTGGAGTGGGGAAACAGAGTAGATGGTTTTGGGGCGTAAGCACTAGGTCTAATTCCTTGATGGTTCCTAGCACTGGGAGGTCACACAGTAAGCCCTTTTTGGAGTCTGAGTCCTCTCTTCAAGGTGGGGACAGTAAATAAACTCGAAAGTTAGTGATTGGGTCTGATTCTTGTGCAAGTCCCAGTACAGGACAGGCACACGGTAGGCAGGCCCAGTGGGGACTCTCTGATTCCTCTGCGTGTCCCACGACACAGTGAGCACACGGTAGGTCCCCCGGTGTGTTTCGGGATCACACGGGGCTGTGGAGGCGATGTGGGTGTGCTGGTGCACACAGGCTCCCTAGCAGACGTAGTTAGTATCAGTAGGAAGGATGCAAACAGCACGCACAACAATGCTTGACCGTGTATTTTTATTGAGTCGTTGCTCCCTGTCCGCTCTCCACGCAGTCGGGATAGACTAGGCCAGGCACGCGGCCCCCGAAGCGGTACGTGTACTTGCGCCCCCCGCTCTTGCGCACGATGTCGCGGCGGTAGTAGTAGCGCAGACCTCGGCTCAGCTTCTCGTAATTCATGCCGGGCTTCCTCTTGCGCTCGCCCCACAGCCGCGCCACCTAGGGCGGAGGCCGGGCTTAGTCTCAGGGGGCGGGAGAGGTGGGGAGTAGGAGGGGCTTGACAATAGATGGTGGGGCGGGGTTGGGGTTCTGGTCTGTCAGCGTGGGGGTTAGGCCCGGCGGAGCGGGGCGGAGTTGAGGGCGAGGCTGAGGGCGGGGCCTAGCACTAGGCGAAGTGCTGGTGGGGCTAAACTGAACACAGGGAGACCCAGGCGGGACTAAGCGGGTCTGGGAGGCTGCCCCACCTCTTTGGGGTCGCAGAGTTGGAACTCGCGGCTATTGCCCGTCCAGCGGATGCAGCTGCTACGCGCCCCGTCGTGGAGTAGCTCCAGGAGGAACTGCCACAGCTGAATGGGACCTGCGGGGTGGAGGCAAGTGAATACTCAGGTTTCCTGGCCCCAGATCATGTCGCTTCGATGACCCAGGAATCCGGATCCCCTCCTCCTCGGGGACCGAGTCCGGATTCCTCCGTCTAAGGGACCTAAGAGTTGGCCTTGGGGACCCAGGCATCGGGGCCCCCATCTTGGAGATTTAGGAGTTTGGCTGCCCCATCTTGGAGACCCAGGGATCCATATCCTCATCTCTTTCCTCTTGCCTAATGCAGGAGCCTAGGTCCTCCTCCCTTGCTCTCGGGAAGACTACCCGTGTCTTAGTCCTCTCCTCCCTGGGGACCCAACAGGAGGGCCACCGCCCCCTCCTCTCTCGAGCCCCGCCAGTTTCCCGGTCCCGCCCCCTTTGGCGCCTAGGCCCCGCCTCACTAGACTCCGGCTTCGCTCTCTTGGGACAAAGTGTCTCGGACCTCACCTCGGTGGTTAGCTTTGGGGTAACAAGCCAAGGTTGCGCGGTCCGACTGCTGGCTCGGTTCGGAAGAAGTGGTGAGATCTGAAGTCTGGTACTCCTTCGAAGAGGTGGTGCAGCCCGTATGCAGCCCCGAGTCCCAGGAGATGGTATAGTCCGATCCCGCAGGCCCGCCCCACGAAATGGTAGAGTCGGCGGGCGGCTCCCCGCCGAGGCTCTTGCCCCAATAGGTGGCGCCGTCCGGGCCAACAGAATAGTCCCAGCTGGTGGAGCTGGCGGCGACCTGGGCGCCCGACCATGAGTTGGCACTTCCCGCGGAGGTGGCGCAGTTCTGGGCGGCTGCCCCTTCAGAGCCAGCCCAGAGGGCGGGACCCAGGGCCTGGGAGACGCGGCTCCAAGGGACCGAGCCGGTGCACGGCAAGTCTGTCCAGTCTCCCGACCACGGAAGAGCCTGAGGGGCGGGTTCTGTGAGGACGAACGGACCCCAAGTGAGAGGAGCCCAGGTGTCCCGATCCCTGGCCCCCTCGGGGGTTCTAGGGGTCGAAGCTCGCAGCCCTGGCGCCTGGGGCCCCACGCTCCAGGATCTCGGTCATGCCACCTTAAGGGCACAGGCGTCCCCCGTCCTATCCCCGTTCCCCCTCAAAGATCGGGGAGTCTAAACCTCTAGTCACAATGGAGGACCCCAGTCCCCTCCTCCCCCCACCTCTCCGCACACACTCACCCGCCCCCCATGGAGCTTCTGGGTACGGTAATGCGGAGCCCCAGTCCGGCTGTGGGAGCCCTGAGAGGGATAGGACGTAGCAGAGTTTAGGGGATGGTGTGCACAATGACTAGAGACTCCCCTCAGCCACTCAACCCAGTGGTCCTTATTTGTCAGGGACTGAGAGTTATTACCCCCGGCCCCTACTCACTCAGACCTGGGACTCAGGAGGCTGTCTGGGCCCCTCCTCCTTCAACCTCTGGAGTTCAAGCCCACACCCCTCTCTCCGCTCAACCCCAGGAGTCCAGGCACGCCCCCTTCCTCCCTTAGACTTAGAAGCCAGCGTCTCACCTTCCCCAGCGCTCAGGGGTCCCAGCCCACAGACACTTTTCCAACCTGTCTCCGCTGTCAGCGCGTCCCCTTGGAGTGCCAGTTCAGGGAAATAGAAGTCGAGTTCAGCTCCTTCTGCAGGCAAGAAGGTTAGAGCCCCGTCAGGGTCAGTGGAGGCGCCCACCTGAGCACCCTCCCCACACACATTGTCTCAGCCCCAGACCTGACAGCCTGCTCCCCAGGGGCACTTCCTGTGCTGATGCTCCATCCCAGTTCCACAAATCCATGGCTGCTCGCTGTGAATATTCTGGGTCAGAAAAAAAAAAGGGCCCAGGGTGAGCTGGTGACACTTAGGGACCCTGGAGTCTGGGCCCCATCCCTTGCTTCGCTCAGACAGAGGAGTCCGGGCCTCTGCTCCCTCCTTCCCCAGGACCCTGGATTGTTGGCCTCCAGTGTCCTTTTCTCTCAGACCAGGAGTTAAGGGCCCCCAGACACCCAGACCCAGGAATCCAGGCCCCCAGACACCCAGACTTCCAGTTCCCAGTTCACAGCTTACCTCTGGCAGGTCCCTCTGCCCTCAGCCGGGGGTCTCAGCCCCATTTCATACCATGCACCCCCTCCCCCCGGGGGCCTGGGCAGGAGGGAATTTTCCAAGACGTCAGAGCTGGGGGTCGCAGCGGGGGTCGAGTTGCAGGGGCTGAGGCGGGGCCGAGCTGTGTCACCCCTGCCCCACTCCCCTCTGCCCCCAGAGATGGCCATCCGCCTCCATGGTAGCTTTGGCTGTCCTGCCGCAGGGGTGGCTTGGACTTGAACAGGAGCTTGGGAAACAGCGGGCTGGGCGAGACCCGGGTGAGGAAAGGTGTTTCCGGGGTGACTGGGGTGGGGGGGGGCTTGGGGACTTGATCCTGTGACACGGGAGGTGGTGGGGGAGGAGAGCCTGGGGTCAGCTGGGCTGCGCCAGGCTTATCTGCAACAGGAAGGGGGATTTCCGGCCAGACCCCTGGTGGGCAGACGTCACAATCCACAGGGGGCCTGTGGGGGTAGGTTGACCTGGGATCCTCCACCAGGCCCACTTCTCCCCTTCTGAGGGCTTTGAGGGGAAGTCCTGGGGCTGCTTCCGAGGACAGTAGCAACAACAGTATGAACAATAACAACAGTGATAATAATAGCTAACATTTATTGGGGGCTCATTACATGCCACCGGCTGTGCCCTGGGCCTTTGTTTAATCCGCTTACCAGGTTGGTACTAGTCTTATCCTGATTTTATGAAACGGGAAATTGAGGAGGAATTCCTTCCACTTTTCTTCATCTCCAGAATCCATGCCCTTCCCTGATAATAACAGTTCAGGACAAATGGGGAAATTTGAATATGAACTGAATATGAGATATAGAATTAGTCATTTTCTTAGATGTGATGATGGTATTATGATGTGAAAGCTATCTCTATAAGGAACACTGAGATATTTAGGGGTGAAGTGTTGTGTCTGTAACTTGTTTCCAATGATTCAGCAAAAAAACCAACCATGTATACTTGCGACATGTACATGCACACGTGCAATATTTGGGACACACTTATACTAAAAAATTATTTGTTGTCTTAAGTTCAAATTTAACTAGGTGCCCTGTATTTTTATTTCCTAAATCTGGCAACCCTAAACCCTGGTAGCTTGGCTTCAGAGCCTGTGCTTGTACCCATCCTGCAATATTGATAAGTAAATATTTAGCATTAAAAATAACCTCTTTAGGGCTTCCCTGGTGGCGCAGTGGTTGAGAGTCCTCCTGCCGATGCAGGGGACACGGGTTCGTGCCCTGGACCGGGAAGATGCCGCATGCCGCGGAGCGGCTAGGCCTGTGAGCCATGGCCACTGAGCCTGCATGTCCGGAGCCTGTGCTCCGCAACGGGAGAGGCCACAACAGTGAGAGGCCCGCATACCACAAAAACAAAAACAAAAACAAAAATAACCTCTTTAATATGGGCCATTTCCAATATTCACCCAGTTCAATCACTAACCACTTGCCATTCTGGGGGTGGGAGGAGTGGGGGGTGTGGGCACTGCCCTTCATTGTTACACGAGGGAAACTGGGCCTCAACGGGAAGAGCAACTTACTAGGTCACACAGTGGGTGGTCCTGGGGCTCCTGGGATTGGACCCAGCGCTGGTTGAACCACAGAGCCCTCGGGCATCACGAGTCCCTCCATCCATCTAACCCAGGGGTCTGAAAGGAGTCTCCACCTGCTGTGCCCCACCAGGCCTGGAGCCTCCTCTCCCTGAAGCTGGCCTCTCTCCTGTCTGTATGTATCTGTCTCTCCATGTCTCTCTGCCCTGGGTTGACGTCCCTGGCCCTGGGTCTCTGTTGTACCAGGCCTGACTGCAGTAACTTTTTTTTTTTTTTTTTTTTTTTTGCCACATCTCACAGCTTGTGGGATCTTAGTTCTCTGACCAGGGGTTGAACCTGCGCCCTCAGAGGTGAAAGCAAGGAGTCCTAACCACTGGACCCCAGGGAATTCCCTCAAGTCTCTTCTGATGTCTCAGTTCCTCCCCACCTGTCTTTAAGTGTTTTCTATCTCTCTCCCTATCTCCTTATCTGTTTCCATCTCTTTCCCTCCCTGGGTTTATTCCCCAACTGCCTTCCCATTGTACTGCCTCAGACCCACAATTCTCGTCTCTTCCTGTCTCCCTCCCCACCTCTCTGTCTCTGCTCACTACATCCCTTCCATTTCGGTCCCTCTGTCTCTCAACCCCATTGATCTTTTTCTGTCTCCCCTCAGGACTTAAATGCACACATTTAAAACACGCCTTTCTGGAATCATTCTTCTTTCCATCTCCTCCTTTGCCTGCAGTGAATAGAAGAGGGTCAGGAGTAGGGAAGGCTAGTGATGTGGGGATGGGGTTTGAGGGTTCTGGAGCTGGGTGGTCCAGCCCAGGTGGCAGGGGGCTGAAGGGTACTTCCTGCCATTGATGGGAGGCCCTCACCCCTCTAACCAGACTGGAAAATGTGACGTCAGAGGGGGCAGTAAGGGAGGAAGACAGGAACTGAGGAAATTTGACACCTTTCCTGGGTAACTGGCTTCCCTGAGAAGCCTTGGCATTGTTTCTCCCCTCCCTCCCAAGCCCTCTCCCAATCAGGGGTTCTGATGGCTATGTCCCAGGGAGGCCCTCATCCCCTCCCCATGCCATCTCCCTCCTTTGCCTGGTCACTGCTCCAGCCTCCTTCCAGAACCCCAGATTTTTCTGAAGTGCAAATCTGTGATGCTAGTCCCCTGCTTGAACTTTGTCTCAGCTTCTCAAGGCTGGCTGCTTTCAGGGTAAAGTCTAAGCTCCCAGTTTGGCATTCAAGTTCCTGCATGGACACTTCTTCAGACAGGCAGAGACAAGCGTGGAGCTGGGAAACAGGAGTTGGGGAGAGACTTACAGATGCAGAGAGAGAAGAGAGACTCAGAGAGATATGGACACTTAGAAAGAGACAAGAAACAGAGGGGCACTCATAGAGAAACAGAGAAGGAGGCACAGAGAAACACTCAAAGAGATAGAGCAGAAGTTGGCTGGATTTTGGCAGAGTGAAGAAACTGGAAAACAGTCTCAGAGACCTAGAGGGTGACAACTGCAGAGACTAGGAGAGAGAAAAACAGGAAGAGAATGAGAGTCTCAGAAGTGGCCAGTGCCTTGAGGAAGCCCCTTCCTGACTCCCAGGATGGCTCCCATCCCAACCCTGATCACTCTGGGCTGTGACTGTCTGGCTACAGCCCTATCTTCTGCCACTGGACCATGAACTTGGAGGGAACAGGGCCTGTGGCTGTTTAAGTCACCATTGTGTCCCCAGCACTGTCCAGGCCCTTGATGAGAGTCTGCTGAATGGATGAAAGCCTGGAAGGCTGTGAGCTCCAGAAGGGCAGGGCCCCGAAGACCCCCTTATCTTGGTGCTGAGAACACAGGGTGGAGTCAGAAGACCACAGGTTTGAGCCTCTGCTTGGCTTCGGCCTTGCCCTAAGCCTCTACTTCCTCCTCTGTGGAATAGGCTGCACTGGACGTGCACTTAAGAGGTTTCAAGAAGATGTAAGGGGCATGCAGCAGGGACCGAAAAATGCCCATCTGCATGTTTGTCTGAGTAAACTTTCAAGGCTCCCCACTATTCCCAGAGTGGGGGATGCTAAGCCCTGCCCCCCAAAGAGTGCTTCCAAGCCTAGCCAAGGATGGAAATGAACGTAAATTTATTGAAACTGGTTTTGGGGAGGATGGGTGGGTGGATAGTTGAGGATTTCCCAAAGAACTGTGGGGAGGAGCCAGCGCCCGGCCGGGTGGGAGCGGGTGCCCAGCCACAGACCCTATCTCAGGCCCAATTTCTTCTTCTCCTTTTGCTTCTTGCGCACCACGTCCAGGTTCCGGTCCTTCCACATGCTCTTGCGCAGCTTGATGGGGCGTGAGCCCACATACTTCCCTGTGGGAGGGAGGGTTCATGGTCAGGCTTGGGGTCAGGCTCAGGCCAGATGCCTGCCATGCCCACTGACCCTAGGGAAGGCTGCACCCACCATTCATCTCACGCATGGCGCGCACATAGTCGCTGGGGTCCTTAAAGCTGACGAAGCCATAGCCCTTGGTTTTGCCCGTGCGCTTGTCGCGGATCACCTTAGCCTTAAGGAAGGATGGGAAGCGGCTGAAGGCTCGTGCCAAGATGTCATCATTCACCTCATTGCCCAGATCCCCACAGAAGATTCGGAAGTCATCTGGGGTTGGGAGAGAGGAGGTCAGAGGATACAGATGTCTGGCTCAGTCTTATTTAAATGACCCCACCTTCTCTGGAAACATCACCAAGCCCTCTTCCTCTGTATGCCCAGCAGTCTCTGCCTGGGGCCCTCTTGGTCATAACAGCCAATGCCTGTATAGTATTTACCCTGTGCTAGGCTCTCTGCTAAGCACCCATGAGGTTTTAGCACATCTGGCACTCTCAACAACCCTTTACACTAAGGCACAGAGAGGTCAAGTCACCCGCCCCAAGTTAATCAGGAAGCGGCAGAGCTGGGACAAGAACTCAGGCATCTGGCTCCAGAGTCCTCACTTTTAACTAACTGCCCTGCCCTGCCCCACCCCAGGGCCAGCTCTCCCATTCCCTCGATGAAGCCCCTACCTTCGTCATCCCAGCCCTGGCCTGTCCTCCAAGCCCACAGCATCCTTTGGTCTCCTGAACACCTCCCCATGGACATTCCCTGGGCCCCTGACACCCACTGGCTCCCATAATGGCACCCCGGTACCACAGAATTCATCGTTCCTCAGCTCTGCTTCCTCTGCAAAGCCCACTCTAATCCCCCTTGAGTCCCTTAAACCTGAACATACTGCCTGATTCTTCTCCAAGGCCAACTTCAGCTGCCATTCCTGGACACATCCCCTGGGCTGGGCCTGAGCCTCGACCAAATGTGCTCAAGCCCAAAGAATCCCTTCCCCCATG